GGGGGGGGGGGGCCCCCCCCCCCCACACAATACCCGCCTCCCCACCCGCCTTCCTGTCCTCCACGCCTCAAGCAAGGTTAGCGTTCTCTCTCTTCATAGTGTACTGCACTGTACTTTGTGTCATATTTTTGTGGTCTAAAAAAAAAAAATACATATGGTTCAGAACGGATTAACCATATTTACATTGAACCTTATGGGAAAATTTGATTCAGGTCGTGACCAAAATCGGTTGGCGACCAAATTAATAGGGGTCAGAATGGATTAACCATATTTACATTGAACCTTATGGGAAAATTTGATTCAGGTCGTGACCAAAATCGGTTGGCGACCAAATTAATAGGGGTCAGAATGTGGTCTAAAAAAAAAAAATACATATGGTTCAGAACGGATTAACCATATTTACATTGAACCTTATGGGAAAATTTGATTCGGGTCGCGACCAATTCGGGTCACGACCCGAGTCACGGAACAAATTAAGTTCATGACCCGAGGTACCACTGTACTACAGTGAGTAAAATTTGAGAAGTGCACTGTAGCTTCATGTTGGGCAGAGAGTGAGACTAAATTTTTGCTCTTGAGCAGATCATTGAGAAGTGTATGAATGTGAAACTTTATATTTCTTGTATGTGAATAGGCTTGACTTATGGAATTTAGCACAAATATGGAGTTAAAACTTCATATTTATTGCATACTGCTTAATGCAATAAGAGCAGAATTCAATGGAAGTAAAGTGTATGTGAGAATTAATGCTTAGCAAATGTTCATCATTGAACAGGGAGTAAAAGAAAGATGTATGATGACCCCTTGGTTATTTTATGTTCTTACAGAAAACATATATGGTTTGTTTGTAATGACAGTAGAGATGGATTGGTTGGGAATGTGAACATACATCTTTTATTCATTGATAAGTGATTTGCAGCAAATGTTGCATTGCATGATGCAACAAGGGATATGGATCTGAAAGACCAAGTTAGGGAAGTGGAGTGAATAATTATGAATAGTTGTACATAAATGGCAAAAAATTAGAGCAAGTTGATGAACTTGGGCACCTTGGTAGAATGTTTAGTAAAAATGGGAAAATGGAGAAATTCTGAGATATGCAAATATGGGTAGAAGTATGTAGTAAGTGGTATGTAGTCTATTGCAAGGTATGAATGAATGTTGAAAAAAGTGAAAATGAGAGAATCTTCTGTCTACTTTATTATGTGGAAGTGTGAGATGGGTATGTCAAAAGAATACCCTGGGAAAAGGTGTAGTGTGTGTATAGTAAATTGGGTCAAGAATGAGTGTGAGCTGTAAAGAAAAATGAGAGACTGAACAATACAAAAGTGATTTGGTCATAAAAAGAGCAAACAAATGAAGATAGTATCACAAAACAAATAATATGAAAGTATGACTGGATTGAGAGGAAAGGGGAGACTGAGGAAGTAGTGGTTGAATTCTCAGTTGATGAGAACCTCAAAAAGAAAGAGAAGTTTAAAGAACAAAAGGTAATGCAGGTAGTCCTCACTTATTGACCACTTGTTTGACAGTCTGAAGTTACAACAGCCTCAGAAAAAGTGCTTTATAACTTGTACTGCAAACCGTTGTGTCACATGATCGCAATTCAGGCACTTGGCAACTGGCTTGCATTTACGACTGGTTGCAGCATCCTGTGGTCACATGATCATGATTTGTGACCTTTTTGCCAGTTTCCAGCAAAAAACATCTCTTGAAGAAGCTGGATTTGCTTAATGACCACATGATTCACTTAACAACCACATGATTTGCTTAATGATCATGGTGATTCACTTTACCAGCATTGTAAAAATGGTTGAAAAATCGGGTCTGGTCATGTGGTGACTCACTTAAATACGGCCCCTGCTTAACAACTAATTTTCCAGTCCCTATTGTACTTGTTAAGTGAGGATTGCCTGTACATGGTATATGTATGTTGTGGAAGCAAGAATAGTTTGCAAGGATAGAAAGTTGTGGAGAGGTATAATGAATTATGTTGGTGTAACTAAATTTAGCTGTAAATGAGAAAATCCTCTCATTATTATTTCCTCCTCCTCCTCCTCCATCATCTCATGCCTTCAATTTTTTTGGCTTAAAATTTCTTACTCCATTTATGTGCTTTGTATAATATTCCTTATCCCAAAATAGAATAATATGATGTGTATGTATGTATACTTTCATTCTCACTGTGTATTAGCAATGAGCAAATTAATTCCTAACAGATATTCGAATTTGGGTTTTGCTGAACATATGCATGATGCTTTTTT